AGCCCATTGTTGCCACCATAATGTCAATCCATCTTGTTGGTCGTCCTCTTCTTTGCTATGCTACCAAACATGATGTCCTTCTTCGGGGACTCTCTCTCCTGATGACTAGTTCGTGGGATGAAGTCTCACCCTCCTCGCTTCCAAGGAACATCCTTTCTGTAGAAAAGAGATGTATTTGTTCTAGCAGTCCATGTTATTCTCAATGTTCTTTACCAACGCCAGGAAAATGGTGACTAGTGGGTTATGCCTTTGGATGCTGACTGCAAGGCCAGTGTTCGGAACATCAGCTGATCTGTGGAGTAAAGATATAAGGCTTTCTACTCCCTTCGAGATTTACAGTCTCAGAAACCCATGGGAGCAATCCTACTCTGTCCTATAGGGTCATTTTGAGTTGGAATTAACTCAATGGTAGTAAGTTACTTTTTCCACTAACACCATAATTCAAATGCACCAATTTTTCTCGGGTCTTCCTTATTTGTTTTCTTGTCCAGCTTTTACATGTATATGAGGTGAATGAAAATACCATGGTGTGGGTCAGGTATACCGTAGTCCCTAAAGTGACATATATGGTCTTTAATGCTTTAAAGTGGTCTTGCACTGCCAAATTACCCAATACAATATATTGTTTCACATCTTAATTGTTGCTTCCATGAACTTCAATTACTGGACTGAGTAAAATGAAACACTTGACAGCTTCAATCTTTTCTGTTTAGCATGTTATCTATTGGTCCACCTGTGAGTGATTTTGTTTTCTTTACATTGCTTTCTAATCCATACTGAAGACTGTAGTCTAGGATCTTCATCAGTAAGTATCTCAAGTCTGCTGTACTTTCATCAAGCTATGTCCACTGCATACCACAGGATGTTCATGAGTCTTCCCCGATCCCAGGGACACGGTCTTCTTCATAAAGCCCAGCTTCTTTAATTATTTATTCAGAAAATAGGTATGGTGAAAGGATATGCCCCCGAATTACGCCTTTCCTGATTTTGAACCACTCAGTGTCCCCTGCCCCTTGCTCTGTGTATGTATAGGTCCCTCGTGAGCAAAGGAAGTGTTCTGTTGTGATCCACACAGTTGAATGCTTCTGCATAGTCAATACATACAAGTAAATATCCTTCTGGTATTTTCTTCTTTCAGCCAGGATCCATCTGACTTCAGCAATGATGTGCTCCAGGCCATGTCCTCTTCTGAATCTGGTTCTAATATCTGGCAGCTCACACTCAATATACAGCTACAATCATTTTTCCATTACCTTCAGCAGAATTTTACTTGCATGTGATATTATGATAGTGTTCAAATTTTTAGCATTCTGTTGGGTCATCTTCCTTTGGAATGGACCAATTGGTTGCCCAGGTAGCATCTTCCAAATTTCTTAGCATAGATGAATGAGCACTTTCAGACTTCTTTTTGTTCTCCAAACTCAAAGAGCATGGAAAAGGAACACAGTTTCAGTCTCTTGCTGGGGAAAGCTAACACTGAGGGAAATATGACCAGGACGATATTCCCTAACTTATAACAGAGGGATCTGGAAAGTTAGAGGTAAAGTCCAAGCACATTATCCTGCTTTAAATGCCATTTTCACAGATTCTCCCCTAACAGTTATGCTGCCTTAAAGTGAGCTGCCTTTCCATGAGGTCTTTCATATTCCCCTGAAGCCATTTCGGTTTCGAACTCCTGCGCAGTGCCTTGCACGACCGTGTATGCTTTTGTGTACTATCTGAGACTGTATTACCCGAAACTTCCTCTTCCCTCATCAAAGCTGCTTGGAATACAAAAGTGCTTCTGCAGCATGAATGCTTTCAGCGTCGAGAAGCAAGAACCCGGGAAAACCATCCCAGAAACATACCAGAGGAACTGCAGCTTCACATTTTGTTTTTTAAAATAAGACTTCTATTTGTAGCGATATTTTTCCTTGTCGCCATGTATGTTATGTTATTGTTGTTAGGTGGGGTTGAGTCCGCTCTGACTCACAGTGGCCCCACTGTGACAGAACAAAACACTGCCAGACCTCATGCCGTCCTCACAATTGTGATGTTTGCTGTGCCAATGGCACAGCGCTGTGCCAATCCATTTATACGAGGGTCTTCCTATTTTCTGCTGTCCTCCTATTTTATTACCATCATCATCAGCCCTTTTTGGACAAAAGACACCATACTAGTATGGGCACTTTTTTTCCCCATTCTGTTGTATATAGGATTTTAAAAAAATCATTTTATTAGGGGCTCATAAAACTCTTATCACAATCCATACATAGATCAATTGTATAAAGCACATTTGTATATTTGTTACCCTGATCATTCTCAAAACATTTGCTCTCCACGTAAGCCCCTGCATCAGCTCATTCACTTTCCCCCCTCCCTCCCCCCTCCCCGCTTCATAAACCCTTGATAATATATAAATTATTATTATTTTGTCATATCTTACACTATCTGATGTCTCCCTTTACCCACTTTTCTGTTGTCTGCCCCCCGGGAGGAGGTTATATGTAGATCCTTATAATTGGTTCCCCCTCTCTACCCCTCCCTTCCTCTACCCTCCCAGTATCACCACTCTGACCACTGGTCCAGAGGGATCATCTGTCTTGGATTCCCTGTTTCCAGGTCCTATCTGTACCAGTGTACATCCTCTGGTCTAGCCAGATTTGTAAGGTAGAATTGGGATCATGATAGTGGGTGGGGAGGAAGCATTCAGAAATTAGAGGAAAGTTGTATGTTTCATCACTGCACCCTGACTGGGTTGTCTCGCCCCATGACCCTTCCCTAAGAGGATGTCCAGTTGCCTACAGATGGGCTTTGGGTCCCTACCCCAACACTCCCCCTCATTCACAATGATATTTTGTTCTATGATGCCTGATACCTGATCCCATCGACACCTTGTGATCACACAGGCTGGTGTGCTTCTTTCATGTGGGCTTTGTTGCTTCCAAGCTAGATGGCCACTTATTTACCTTCAAGTCTTTAAGACCCCAGACGCTATATCTTTTGATAGCTGAGCACCATCAGCTTTCTTCACCACATTTCCTTATGCACCCCCTTGTCGTCAGCGATCTTATCAGGAAGGTGAACACACAATGATATTTTTGTTCTTTGATGCCTGATAACTGCTCCCTTTGGCACCTCGTAATCACACAGGTTGGTGTGCTTCTTCCATGTGGGCTTTGTTGCTTCTGAGCTAGATGGCCACTTGTTTGCCTTTAAGACCCCAGACGCTATATCTTTTGATAGCCAGCCACCATCCGGTTTCTTCACAACATTTGCTTATGCACCGGCTGGCACTGTCTTCAGCAATCATGTTGGGAAGGTGAGCATCATGGAATGATAGTTTAATAGAACAAAGTATTCTTGCATTGAGGGAGTACTTGAGTGGAGGCCCAATGACCATCTGCTACCTTAATACTAAACCTATAAATATATGCACATAGATCTATTTCCCCAGCCTCATATATAAACATGTTTACATATGTACACGCCTTTATTTAGACCTCCATAAATGCCCTTTGCCTCCTCGCTCTTTCCTTTGACTTTCCTCTTGTCCCACTAATATGCTCAGCCTTCATTTGGGTTACAGTAATTCTCTCGGTTACATTACCCTTGATCACGCCCTACCAGGCCTCCTACACCCTCCTCACCACCGATTTGGATCACTTGTTGTTCCCTTGTCCCTGAGGTTAACACTGCTTCCTTTCCCCCAACTTCCCCTCTCCCGTGTCCCCCCGGAACTGTCGGTCCCATTGTTTTCTCCTCCAGATTGTTCATCCAGTCTATCTTATTGCGGAGATAATAACATGCACAAAAACATGACAGAGCAAAACCAAGCAATAACAACAAAAAACATCAACAACAAAAAAATCCACAACACAACAACAACAAAAAAGAAAAGCTTGTAGTTCAAGGACTGTTTGTTGGTCTTTTGTTTGTTTGTTTGTTTGTTTGTTGGTCTTTAGGAGTGTTTTCCAGGGGAGTCTGATGGAGTGCCAAGCCCTGGCTCCAAAGTCTACTTTTGGTATTCCCTGGGGACTTCGTTGCTCTGTTCCCCTTGCTCTTTGTTGCACAACCTGAGTGTTTTGCCTCGGTGTGGTGGGATCAGATCGGGCACAATTCCCACAGTGTCTCCAGTGTTGTCCCCTGTGGGGCTATAGGTCAGTGAGGGATGTCATGTCTCATAGTGAGGCCGGCCATATGGTCTTATCTGTGGATTGGCTGCTCTAAGTGGGAATCTCTTCTTCAAGGCTTGGTGGGCTAGGATGTGCTCCACTCTCTCTTCCTCTCATTTATTTGCTCCCGTGTGCTCTGATCAGACATGTCACGCTCCTTGAGCTGGTATAGGCACTTCTTACCACTTAGTTTGACTCTATAGTTGTATGTAGAATTCAACACTACATTTTTACAGCCGCATTCATACTCCGTTTCGATGGTGTACCATAATTCATTCAACCATTCAAGGATGTGGGGGTAACATTCAGTATTTTGTTATTATAGGGTAAAAACAGCTACATACATTCCCTTTCTATTTTTACCACTACAATTTTTGGAGATAGTCTTGGCAGTGGGGGTGACCGTATGTGTAATACTGTGTAGATGCAACCATATGTATTACCATAAAAACTGCCCACGGACACATGACCAGGTACTGCCAAGCCTCGGATTTGAACCTGTGTCTAACCGACCTCTGAGACTACGTCAGAAGAAAAGGAATGCCTTGAAGAGGAAAGTCAAGAATTTTGCACTGGGGTCTATATTGCCATTCTTCCAGCTTTCAGACTACAGTTCTCCCTTATCAGTTCTCTGACAGCTCGTTCTTCCTACTGACCGATCCCTTCCGGTCACACTCGGTACCTCAAGGGCCCACCCGCGCGTAACCTAATGAAGTCAAGCAGGGGGCGGGGCGTTGGGCGGGGCCCGAGGGAGGCTGTTGCGCATGCCCAGCCACTGGCTGCCCCGGCTTCCGAGCGTGGCGCTGTCGCAGAGGCGAGGTCGGGTTGTGACGTCATAACCACGCGCCGCTCCCAGGCGTCCTTGCAAGGTCGCTTTCCGGAGCGGGAACGCGCTTGAAGCACAGGCCCTGGGGCCGGGGACGCGCTCTCTTCTTGCCTCGGGACTAGGGGAGACATGGCGGGGTACACTCCAGACGAGAAACTGCGGCTGCAGCAGGTGCGCGAGCTCAGGAGGCGGTGGCTGAAGGACCAAGAGCTGAGTCCTCGGGAGCCCGTGCTGCCGCCGCAGAGGTTGGGGCCCCTGGAGACGTTCTGGAATAAGTTTTTGCTGCACCCGACCCCCTGGAGGAAAGCGGTGAGTGACAGACAGCCCCCTCCCCTCCCCACGGCGCCTCCTGCGGCCCCAGCCAGGCCACCGGACGCCGTGGCTGCAGCCACTCCGGGGGCGGACACCGCTGCCTCTCGCGTCCCTCAAAGGAGGATCGAGGGTTCGGCCGAGATGGTCGCCGGGGGCGCTTGGAGAGCCGTGTCCTAGTGCTGCCAAGTGTCAGAGTGGGACCAGAATCTTCGCTACGGTTTTTACCCGTCCCGTTCTCCTCCTCAGAATGATCACCAAGGACTCTAGAGATAAAATCCTGTCGTTTTAGGATTGGACGATACTTGTCAAACTTTTAATGTTGAGATGATAGAGACAGACACAGTATCTGTCTAGTGGGCGGCAGTGAGTCCAGCTGGTGCAGCAGCCCCATGTGATCACAGCCAGCGCGGTGCCCTGTTGGTATTCTCAGTGAATTATGTATGATCAAGGGCGGTGTGTCCAACTGACCGCTTATGTACTTCTAACTCACCGTTGCCTTAAAAATTATAAATAAAAACTCAAGATACAAAGATTGAGTTTTTAAGTGTATGTGTATATATAAATATACATATTCCTAAATTTTGCTCTTTGGAAAATCATACATTTCAGTACTGTGTTTTCAGGGCCTTGGAATATTTTATTGTCTGTAATCCCATTGCATCTATTATAGATGATAAACATTGCACCTCAAAATTGCTCTACATTGCACCTCAAAATTGCTCTAAATTACTTGGTTAATTCAGTTATGTGGGCTAATAATAATACCAATAAGCAAAAATCAGGTGCTTACTGTATGTCCAGCAACTATTTCTAAGCCTCAGTTGAAATGATTTGACCAAAAATTCAGTGATTTACAGCTGGTTGCATGGCTGGGAATTAGAGAAGCGCACAGTGAAATCCACTTGTACTGACTTTCCTATTGGGCTCTACAAAAACCGGTGCATGAGAATTGGTGCAAATTTTCTGAGAAAAGGGGTGTTAGATGATTTTTATAAAAATTCGAATCTCCCCTAACTCTTCGTATCACTGACATTACTAATTGATTTTTGACAGCCACTGATTGAAAACATCCCACAAATTCACAAGATCTGTAAATATCTTGCAAAGTAAGGGCTACCCAATTGTCTAAACTGTAGGTATCCCTGAGCATGCCCTACCTTTAGTTAGTCTTAACTATTCAGGTAGGTAAAGCTAACGATGGACTATAAGGAAATGCACAGACTTGTAAAAGGATAATTTTTACATAATTCTTTCCTGCCACTAACATAAAAGTGAGATATTTGTGTTGTTGTGTTTTTCCAGCTGCATAAGGTATACCGACACAGTGTCCTTGCTTTTACTCATGTACTTATACCTGCCTGGATTATTCATTATTATCTCAAATATCATGTGTCTGTAAGTATATTTTAAAGAATTTATTTTTCATTGTTAAGAATTTTATTGTAAAAAAAAAAAAAAGAATTTTATTGTGTGGGTGTGCCCTGCCCTGCTTTATGTAGTGAAAAGGAAGTACCACTTATAAACTGGTTTTAAAGGCTTTGAATTCTTTTAGCTAAATGAAAATAGACTATGGTTGTTTAAGAAGTTAATATTCATATTAGTTGTTTACATCTTAGAATTAATTTCCCTAGGAAATTGTGTTTAAATGATCAGGATGTGGTTAATCTAATAGTACTCATCCGAACTCAAGGTCTTCAGCAGGAGGGAAAAATAAATTTCTGCTCCTTTTTTAAAGCATGATTTGGCATAAAATTCTAAAAAGATAAAAATTATCTTTAGTGTTGTCTTATTTCTCTTTAATACATTCTTTCTGATATTTCAGAACTTTCTTTAGAATCTAGAGTGTTTCCAAGAAGCTTGTGCTTTTTATACTGTAAGATCTTGAAGGTATTGATTCAGCTGAGCCAGGTGCCATCTTTTTAAAACTAGGGGTAGCTCAGACTGGGGTTGGGTGTTGCAGTCCAAGCAGGGTGAATAAAACATCCATTCTAGAGCGTGAATGCACAGGGCGAAGAGGGCACTTGTGTGACCCTGTGAGGAATGTAAGATCCTTAGTGGTTGTGAGAGAGTGCACCTTTTGCGGGGGCAGGTGCCTTCAGCAGTGCTGGTGACCTGATGTAGGATGTAGGAGCCTGAGCCGGAGGAGGAAGGTATCGGAAGGGAGGGATGGAGTGAGATAGTGAAGGAGGCGACAACCCAGATTAGGATGTCAGAACTGAGATGAGGAAGGTTTTTATATGGGGTATCATGGCGGTTATATGCTGGGTGGCTGCTCAAATAAGAACACATAAAAGGTCATCGGGGCCAGGATATTCACTGTCCAAGAAGGTAGGTGCACATATGGAAAATGGGTGTCTCAGAGGAATCGGAAATACTGGTATGAACTCATTAACTTTTTATATATATGCACACCAAATGAAACCAGGTGCCCTCTACTTGATTTCACCTCATGGTGAGCCTGAGCCCCACAGGCTTCTCACTTGTTGTTACCTTTAGGGAGTAGAACACTGGGCCCTTCTTAGGTGCCTCTGGGTGGATTTGAAGCCAGCCGTTTGGTTCGTAGACAGGCATTTAACCATCTGTGCCTCCTCACCAAAAACCAAACTCACTGCCATTGAGTCATTGCTGACTCATAGTGACCCCCTGTGGGTTTCTGAGACTATAGCTGTTTACTGGAGTAGAAAGCCCAGTCTTTCTCCCGAGGAGTGGCTGGTGGTTTTGAACTGCTGACTTGCAGATCGAAGCCCAACTCAAACCACTACACCACCAGGGCTCCGTATTTGTGCCTCCTAGAAATCCTTTCTTTTGTGTACCCCTGTGGTGTTCTGAGACTTTTGATCTTTATAGATCTTGTCCCATGGAGCAGGTGGTAGGTTTGAACTGTTGTTTGGGATATTTTGAATCCAACTGATCCTTTACTGCTATGAGATGTAGTTAATTAATATGGCATTTCTGGCCATAATCCCTTATGAGATGTAAATTCTGGCCCCTATGTCAGTAGCTGCAAGCCCCTTTTGGAAGGAGTTCTCCGTAAAGCTAATGGGCAGAATTAAGGTAGGATTAAGTCTCCACGGTAATAGGGGGTGTGAATCATGTTATCACCCTTTGTTTCCATGGGATTATGGTGTGCTGAAAGACAGAAAACACACCTCCATCAAAGCCATTCCTCTGTGTATAAGAGCCACCTCTGAAACAGAGACTCCCAGGACCACAGGAAGGAGAACCACTAGTGGAGCTCATCTGAAGTGGCGTGCCGGAGGCATGGTCCAGAGCAAAGGTGCCTGACCAAGACCAGAAGCTAAAAGTTCCAACTGTTGTTATTAACAACTCAGTGTGTAACCCACTACACTACCACCAGACCTCCTTAAGGAATCATCGGAACTGCTATTTTACTTAGACCTCTATGAGAAGGTGATATTTGATAAAATGAGAATGTGGACAGATATCCAGGAGAAAAACATTTCAGGTGAAGGAATCACTAAGAACAGAGATCCTGAAGCTCCAGCAGGTTTGACTAATTAGACTAATAGCAAAGAAGGCACTGTGGCTACACTGTAGTGAGGGAGGGAGTGAATGGTAGGAGATCAAAGAAGTAGTCACATTGGGACCACGAAATCACAGTAAGACTTTGGCTTTTTCTGTAAGAGGTATGGCACTTGGATCAAAGGAGTAATTTGTCTAAAAGGATCACTCTACTTTGCGTGCTGTATGGAAATAGACTGGTTGTAGTAACACGAGAGTTGAAAGCAGAGAGGCTTGAGATGCTCGGTTGTCCCGGTGAAAAACGGACTTGCACAAGGGTGGCTGTACTGTGGGTGTGAGCAAATGGCAAGAGGGCCCTATCTGGCTTCCTTGGGCTTCCCTGTGGCCTTGATGCAGAGGCCAGACATGCCTCCACCCTCCATCTTTCTCTACTTATTCCCACACCAACCATTCCTCCCAGAACACTCTGACCTATCTGCTGTGTTCATGAATTAGTTGCAAGGGCCATACAGAACTCACAGACAACGCTCACAGTTATGAGGGTTTATTACAGAAACTAAAGGTTCTCAGAAATCGAGATCAATAAATAGTAAGGATACAGTCATTGGTCCAGAGCAGCCTCTCTCTTCAGCCAGTGGCAAGTCTCTAGTCTCCCACATTTCAGTCACATGACCCCTACTCTCTGCCTCAGTGAGCAGGAAGCCAGCCCAGTGCTTTGCCTCACAGTCGTTTAGTTCCTCTCTGCTATAATCGTGGTCTCCAGTCTCCCTGCCACACCACTTCAGTTAAGTTCCACCAGTGGTTCTTCCTGTGGTCCTGAGATGGCTCTTATACACAGAGGAATGGCTTTGATGGAGGTGAATTTGATGTCTTTCAGGCAACCCCATCCCAGGGAAACAAAGGGTGATAACATGGTTCACACACTCTATTAAGGGGGAGTTTTAATCCTGCTCATTAGCTCAATGGAAAATTCCTTCCAAAATGAGATTATAGCCAGGAGTGCCATATTAATTGACTACATCACATGGCAGTAAAAATCAGTGGGATTCAAAATATCCCAAAGTAGAGCCAACAGGATTTAGTGAAGAGTCAATATTTGGGTCTTTGTATCAGGGGAAACGAAAGTGCCAGTTACTGAGCTAGGGACTAATGGAGGAGCAATTTGGGGCTGAGGACGTTCAGTGTTGGACCTGCTTAATTTGAGATGGCTATTTGATAAACAAGTAGAGATGTGGAATAAACAGCTAGATATCTGGTTCATCTGGGGTTTAATGTACAGTGAGTTTGATGCTTAAGTTAAAAATTTGGGGAATGTTCTCTGTTCTTTTGGAAGAAATTCTAAAGCCATAAATAACACAACATCACTTTAATTGCAGGCAAAACCATATGGCATTGTTGAGACGAAGCCCAGATTGTTCCCAGTAAGTCTTTGAAACTTTCCTGGTTTTTCTTCATTATTTTTCTCTCCTCCCATTCTCCCTCCAAGCGATCACATTCCTTTCTTTCACTGGCAATCTAAGTGCCTATTTTGTGTATTCTTGTTTAAAAAACGAAGAGATTGGGTGTGGTATTAATTACAGTTGAAAATGGGAGATGTGTAAGTTTCTTCCCAACCTGATTTTAAAATTTGTATGACTTTGATAGTCCTAAAGTTAATTGGAAGTACCAAACTTTTGTTCACTGATACACAGTTTCATGTGTGCTAAAGGACTTTATCATGGTGCTAGAAAACTAGCCTGAGCAAACCCTCCCCCCGCTGCACCACCACCCGCAACATCATGACAGCATGTAAATTCTCTTTATTTCCAAGCCCTCCTTCCCTATGGTTTTTTGCCTCATTCTAAAGGTTTGGCCCTCACCCCTCCATGTGTGATTTTTCAAATTTGTTCATGTACATTTTAAACTTGATACCATGAAATATATAAGGCAAATTTAATATGAGTGCTTTTAACCATAAGGTCAGCAGTTTGAAACCACCAGCTGCTCGTTTGAAGAAAGATGAGGCTCTCTACTCCTCTAAAGAGTTAGTCTTGGAAACCTACAGGGGCAGTTCTACCCTGTCCTATAGGGTTGCTATGAGCCAGAATTCACTCGATGGCAGTGAGTTTGATTTTTTTGTTTGGATTTCAGCATTAAAAATAAGCAAAATTGGTCAGCTTTGAGCATATGCTTTTGAAAGAACCATCTATGGGATCCAAGTGACACCAGAAATCAACATTAGATCAGAGCCTTTGTGGGCAGTGAGTGTGTGTTAACGGAGGGAAGAAGCTCTCAGAAAAGAGGATGCGAGTGGTTGCACAACTGGAAGACTGATCACTGTCGCTAAAGGGTACCTGTAGAGGCTACTAAATTGCTATATGCTTTGCTGTGTATTCTTTTTTTATATAATCATTTTATTAGGGGTTTGCTGTGTATATTCTTAACAACAAAATAAATGAAATTTAGAGGGAAAAAATTTATTCAGTAGTCAGTTGATGTTGAGGTGATTGTCTCACACAGTAATATACGTGTTATGCTCTTGTCCTAATTCTAGCCGTAGACAATTTAACTATCATCAATCTCTAAATTCTACAATTAAAAACAAAACATTCTAAAAACTCAGTGTTGATTTCTGCTTCAATAAAGTAAGACAGTCACAACAATCCACCATTTATTGCATTAGCATAGCATTTTAGCAGGAGAACTACCAAATTGGCAAATCTTCCCCATCAGGAACTGAGCTTTAGGAAAGAGAAAAGGATTTCTCCTGTGTAATTGTGTGGGCAGGACCTAAGTAGCTTCAAAATAGAACATTCTTTTGCTGTCTCACCAATCAGGAACTCGCCTGAGCAGACCCCGTTCTCAGTAGTGACAGCATGTGAATGCAGTTTACTCTTCCAGATGATTGTTTGCTTGTTTATTTATTTTCCCATTACTTCCAAAGACTACATCATTGATTCCATAGCATCTCTTCTGTTTGCCACTGTGATTCCTGCTGTGGGCCCCTCTGAGGACTTCCCCTGCCCTGGGGGGGGGGGGGGCCCTGCCCCACCTTTGGGGGTCTTGAAGAGTACTCATTTGACCATAGGTTGGTTAGCATAGGATTGGCAGTAACAAAAGAACCCTCCAAATCCCAGTTACTTAACAAAACAGAACAAAGATTTAAATTGTACTGAGATGGCAGACTGGTGTGGGTCAGGTGACCCTCCTTGGTCCTCCAGCCTTGCTTTCTGGAGTAGGAGGCGACCAAGATGACCAGGTTAGAGGAAGAGAAGGTGGATGTCTCAGGGATGATTTTAAGATTTAGGCTTGGAAGTTGCTTTTAGCACTCTCCTGAAATCCTATTGGCCAGAACTAAGACTCAAGGTTCGAAAGGCCCACTTTTAATAGTGTTTGCACGTAGTTCCTTGCCTGGTTTCCTCCCCCCAACTCCCCCACTCCCCAGCGTTCTATGCAGGGATATTTAGTGAATACTAACTGTCACAGTTCTTCCTTCTAATCACAAGTAGCTCTTCGCTGGCCTTTCTCCACATGTAACACACTCAGTGCCTCCCTAAAGCCCCATTCTATCACTGCAACCAGCCCCAATCCATATCTCCAGATGATGCACAGCTGTATCTGTCAGGTTTAGATATGACTTCTCTTGATTTGAGGATCGATAATGAAGGTATTCCATTTTCCGTGATGGGACAAACAGTGTAGTAGACACTGGTTCTTGGCAATCCTGAAACCCCAGGGGTCAAAGATTTAAAGACCCCCCTAACCTCTGTGTGGGAAGTTACTTGAATGGGCACTGGTTTTTGTTTTTTGAAAGACAGACCTTTGCTCTATTCTTCTCTGACCTCTGTGTCTGTCTTAGAGGTTCTTTCTTTGTAGTTACAAACCTAGACTAGAAGTAGGAGACACTGAGAAGCATGGCCTCCTTGCAGAGAAGGGTGGGGTGGGGGCCTTGCCACAGCTGGTAGGCATCTAATATGTTTACTTCTGGTCAGTTCCATGTGCTAGTATTGGCTCTCTCTGTGCATCATTGTTAAGTTGGCTTATTTTCCGGTTTACCCTTATGGGTGTCTCTACCCCTTTGTTCTCTGTCATGGAGCTGAGTCCCATTTTTTCCTTTTTTTCTGAGCCCCTTTGTGGACTGATTTTTATTGGACCTTTTGTCCAGAATATTTTTAGAGTTTAACTCCTACTGTTTATGGATTCAGAAGCAATTTGGTGTTTCAATACTGATGAATTTTGGATCCTCTCCATTTTAATTTCTGCTTTCAAGTCAGCCACTTCTTGCTTGAGCTCGTCTTTCCTGAAGTGCATTGCCAAGGCAGCCAGTAGTAGCCAAGCACAGAGCAGAACTCTTTTTCCCCAGTTACTAGTTTAGAGCCTTATGTGCATTCGGAAGCCTGCTTCCAAGTTATTCTGAGAGACATTGTTGGAAGGGCTATGATGTGTCCAGGGGCCCTTGGTCTCCCAACTGAAGAATGGACTCAGGGAGTACAAAATGAGCAGAAAGCATCTTATTTGGGAAGGTGGAGACTCCGAGTGAACTATGCCTAAGGGATTTTATTAGGTTTAGGTGTAGGGTACTTGACCTTTTCCAGGTTATGAACGTACCAGTCCTGGGTCTGGCCTTATTTCTCAGGTCCGATCATAAACCTGGTTATGCTCTTCCCTAGGCTGGGTCTTGCACCGGCATGGACAGGGAAGTAAGCGTGCAATGAGTGGGTGAGCAAAGAGTTTAGAATCAGCCGAGGAGTCTAATGCCTGCATGTGTAATATTGAAATTGTCTTAAGCAGTTGGGATCATTCTTTAGGACATCCTGATGCCCCCTATGCTTCTGGGCCTCCTGGCTTCTTCCCTCACTCTGCCTGTGGGCTATCTCCTGTCTCTCAACATTTTGCTGTACCTTTTAAGCCCCACTGCCATTGCCTTTACTGCCAGATGCTAGGATAATGAATGCGCCACAGTTCGGTTTTTATTATGGCATCCTGAGTACTCACTTCAAGGCACTAATTTCTGCATTAGATTAATGCTAGTTATGATGGCTAACTGCCTCCAAAGGGCTATGGCTTAAACATAAGCGACATTCATGTCTTCATCAGGGAACAGTCTAGACCAGTTCCAAATCAGAGAATGGGGAGCTAGGGAAGGAGTCGTTTTAGGGGTCCAGGCTGACAAAACATGCAACTTTAAGCATGGCACTTCCAAGGTCTCCAAACCTGAGTGTCACCTGTCATTCCCACTCACATTTCAGTGAGGGTAGAACTCCCTCACCCTGTCAAATCTAACCTCAGAGGAAACCGAAAACTGTTGCCTAGCTGTAGGTACAGGAAAGAGAACCTAGATTTTGGTGAGCAGCCTAACATGTCTGCCACAGCCCTGTCTTACAAAACCCAACGTAAAAGGCCCTTGATGGGTTTCCCTTCCTCTGGGATACATGAGTTCAAACTGGCTAATTGGTTCAGAAAGGAGCCCCGGTGTGGTGCAGTGCTTATATGGTGGCTGCTCACCAAAAGCTCGGTGGCTTGAACCTGTTGCGGTCTGTTTCTAGCAAGATTATACTTTGGAAGCCCTACAGGCCAATCCTACTTCGCCCTGAAGCCTTCCAGGCCAGCTCAGCTCTACTCGATGGGATTGCTATGGATTGGAATCAACCTGTTGGCAATGGGTGGTTTGGGTTTCTGTTTTTAACTTGTGCTTTCTATTCAGCCTTTATTTCCTTCTCTACTCTCAGACTCTCGTTTTTAATCTCCAGTACACATGGCTGAGCATTGCAGAGAAAAAGGAAAAAACACTGCCCCATTTTATTCTGAAAGATCATCCCCTCTGGGTTGGTTTGTTGGGGAGCCAGCCTGCTGCTCTTCCGTGTCCTCTCTCAGTGACTTCTCTGGCTTCTGGTGCCCCCTCTGCTGTCTGTGTGGCCTGACTAAACCCTAACGGAGGGTGCTGCCTGCCAGGCCTGCCCACCTCTACTAACCGAGGGACTGTAAACCTCAGTGAAGAGGATGGTTGCCCCTCCCCCAGCTCCCCCTCACCAGGGCAGGCTCTGGTGTCGTCTTCCAGTAAAAACTGTTTCCTTCACGCATGCTTTGTTCCACAACCCTCTTTTTGACATGTTCTGGTTTTAGATGTTAACACTAACCAAATGTTTGAAGCGCTTAACGATTCTTTCAAGCATGTGTGTTGAGCCCAGGTGTCGCTACTGGGTAATGAGTTGGACTGAGGTCAGTGGTTAAATTCTCCAGCCACTTCACAGAGAAAGATGAGGTGTTCTTGTAGAGATTCACAGCCTCAGAACCCCTATACAGGGTTGTTAAGGGTCAGAATCAACTCGATGGCCGTGGAGTGGAATTATGTGCTCTGAATTTATATTTTGAGGGCAGGTTTTTATTTCTAATTCATTGAGAAGACGAAGGGAGTAACTCATTTTGCTCTCCTTGATTACAGCTACCAAAGAGCTAACGTGTATTAAGCTCTGTGTGCCAGTTACTATTATAAGTATTTTGTATTCCTTTACTTAATCTTTTCAACAACCCTAGTGCTATTATAGCCAATTTACAGAAGATGGAGTGTATGTAGCAAAGTTGAGGAACTTACCCAAGGTCAGCCAGTGAAACCATGAGGTCTCCTCTCCAGCACGCAAACAATGCAGTTCTCACAGCCTACTTACAGCCAGAAATGCTCGAGGAGGACTTCTGCTGTCCTACAAACTCATTGATAACACAGATGACAACATAAAAACGTGCAATTCTAGAGCTTTCATTATTGAGTCTTTGAAAAATAACAGAGTTGAACCAGCTATACTCCTCAGGTAAATGATCTTTTCTGACTAAATGTCATGGAAATTCAATTCTGTAAGAAATGCCCAGTGTCCTTTTGGAAAAATCCTTTTCATCCCTTCAAAACCAGACCTTTCCCAGTGTGGAGTGAAATAACCCAGGTTACAGAGTGCTTCCCTTACTCTCTCTTCTCTCTCAGTGACTTGTCTTAGCTTTTGTATGACTAAAGCGTGTTCCTGTAAAATAGTTAAGTCACTCTTGTGGGGAGAAGGTATAAAAATATATTAACAGCTCCTATTTGTTGATTGTCCAGAATATTCGAAGTATTATATCAGTCAGTTCTTTATGAGGTAGAGATTGTTATCTCCATTATTCAGATGAACTGAACAGAATCTATGAGAAACTGAGTAATTATCAGTGGAAGGGCAATGATTCTTAGACACTGGGTTCTAGCGCCAAAGCCCCATGGTTTTTATTGCGCCCGCACTGCCTCCAAGCTTGAAAAGACCCCTGGGCCAGCTGTCTAGCCAGTGTTTGCATTTTGTTTCTAATATCTAAGTCAAGCATTAAATATATTTATTGCATTGTAAAATTGAGTATGTTTTCTTGTAGCTTCTCTTTAGGACTTCTATTTCTTTAGGCCATTCAAAATAAGGATCATTTTTACTTGATAAAAACTTTCATGTCCCTCTGGTTTGCTTCTGAATAAAAAACTCTTTATTTAAGTTGTACTTTAAGATTTTGAATCCTGGATATTCACCTTTAAACAGCTTATATTTTAATTCCCCCTAGAAGTATGAATGCCATAGTTGAACTAGACTTTCCACAGGATGCATGACCAACATAAAGAACAGAGTGGTACTGTCACCCCTACCCGGTTTTTTTACTAATGCTTATTTGTATCCCTAGGGTGATATAATTCTGGAGACTGGAGAAGTAATTCCACCAATGAAAGACTTTCCTGATAAGCATCACTGAAGGTTACTTAAACATTTCGTGGCTTTTGAGCCTAAGTTGTTCCACATTACCATGCTTACTGAATATATTTTCTGGAAAAGTAACTTTAATAAAGTAAACTATGCGTTTACTCTTGGAAATGTGTTTTCCTATCTTTTCTAACACGTACAACTTGAGACTGTTTGAATCATTTAACAGTAAAAACAACATGCAAAACTAAGGATACGAGTGACTGGGTACTTGTTTTGCTTATTCTTGAACTGGAACATAGGTTGTAGAATAGTATTTAGTCATGTGATAGAATTTTCCTTATAGAGTACTTTGGTCTGAGGGAATGCAACAGAGTGAAATACTGCAGTAAATAAGTATAGGAACACCCCTCCACACACACATTACAGTTAAAAAGAAATTTTTCGAGGCATTTCTAAAGTATTCAGAAAGTCGGGATGTGGAGGCATGAATCCCCTCCATGATCTAATTGCCAAGGGCTGTCAGATTTTGGTTGCTGATCTGGGTTTTTTTGTTGTTTTCAAATTAAGTTATAGAAACAACACTTAAAATTTTTTGTAAAACTAGGGTATATTATACAGGGCCACTGTGATTTGGAGTCGACTCGATGGCAATAAGGTTTTTTTTTTTAGTTTATTGGTTATCCTAAAGGGCTGCAAAAATCAATTTGTAAACTTTACATTAGGGTTTTTATTTTAAAATCTAAACAGGTCCGATAAGCACGAGGCAGAGAGTTCAATTCGCAGAGAATGAAATCTAAGGAAATTACAAATTTGCATTCATCCCGAGGATCTTTTCCGGGAATTCCTTCGCCAACTGTCGCTGTGCGGCCACCGTTGATGCATACATGACGTATCCCCAGGAGAGTAAGACTGTCGCCAGGCACAACTAGAAGAGGGAAGGAAAAAAATGACTGCAGGTGGCCCTCCCCCTTCCCGTCTCAAGTTACCCCGCGCCGTTTGCAAACCTGGGGCTCTAGGAGTGGCAAACTTCAGGGAAAAGGGTTGCAGAGAGAAATGCACCCAGTCGGGTGTCCCTACGTAAGAAACGGAAGATCGTGTCCTCCAGGAAGAGGCGGAGTCGAGGCGAGGGAGTCAAAAGCTCAAATCGGGAATGGATTTCGAGTTCGAGCGTGCTGGCAGTGGAGGGGCTCCCGCCTGAGGCCCGGCCCGCCGACGCCGTGGAGCCCGGCCAGGCCCGGGACTTACCGTCGAGTAGAGCCAGTCCAGGCTGCGGCGACCCACCGGCCCCATGGTGAGTCAGCCCCGGGCTCGGGGACCGGCGGCGGCGCGGGCCCTCCGCTAGCCTGCGGGGCGGTGGCTGCCGAGCGACCGCGGCCATCTTCCAGCCGGGCGCGCTCGCCCCCCTGCTCCGGAGCTGGTCCGTGCGTCCGTCCGCCCGCCCGCCCGGCGTCTTCCGCCCGCCGCCGCCGGTCACGTGACGGGCCTGGGCGCCCGCGCCGCCAAGGGAGGCCGTGAGGCGAGGCACTGGAAATGGCTTTGTGCCCCCGACGAGGTTGGGCTCGTCGCCAGCCGGTTGTCTCTCCAGCTGAGCTGCATGTTGCCGCGGCGGCCCAGCGCACTGTCGTGTGCGTCGCACGTTTCCTTGAACAGATGCAAACTGCACTTTGAAACACCGCGCGGAGGTCGAATGCCGAAAGAAAACGTTTTCCCCACATCTGTTCTTCCCTAGTGGCGACGGATGCACGTCACCGGGCCGCGCTGTAACTGACAGGCGTGCTGTGGCTATTCCTGTTAATTGCGCCCTCGGAAACGTGGGGTCTTTGAGACCGCCGTCGCTTGTCATAACGTTAATCTGACAAAGACACTACGGGGCAAAAGTCATCCAGCACAGAGCGCCGGCCAGGCAACAAGTGCTGGTCGGATCGTGAGCCAGCAGGCTTGGCTCGGAGGCCTGACTGGTCGTCTGGCCTGGTCAGGGTTTTGAGGCTGACGTTATTTCTCTCTCAATCTCAGGCATGACTTTAGATTTTAATCCCATTTTGGGGGAACAGGCGGGGGAGAAGAGTTCTTGGAGGGGAGAACATCTGGTGGGGGGAGGGGGAGTTCAGGGCCTGTCCTTTGAGGTCTGGGCACTTCTGTCAGCCACATTGCAGTAGATCTTTGTGGAACCAGTACTCGACTTCGCCTGTAGATCTCTGTCGAATCCTGGTGTTGCTTTGTACCTGTGCAACCGGTGGTCGTCACCTAACTTCCACGTTAGCACAATGTGTACAATAGCGATAATAGTAAACTAAGCTAATGTTGTCTAGTTATCGGGTCCAATAAATTAGGAACAAATACAAGCTGTTGCCTCAGCAATTAATGATAACGAGAAAGACGATGATCTTAGTGATTTGTTTACTTATTTAGTCCCGGGTGGTCGATTACTCTCTAGCCAGGACCAGGGGGAGCCAGTGGGGGAAGGGCCCAGTCTCTGGCCTGCGCGCGCTAAGCCCCGCCTCTGTATCGGCGCCTTTCCAGTGCGCCTGCGTCAGGGGGGCGGGGAAGTGTTTTGCCGCCCTGGGGGTGGGGTCTTGCTTCCTGGCACCGCCCCCAAGCTGCCATTGGTGACCGGCGTTTTACGTCACAGGGGTCGCAGCAGCCGCCAGGGGCGCCGCTGTCTCGCGAGGAGGGTGAGGCGCCCCCGCCCGCCCTGGCTCCGGAGGGTAGGCGGAGAAGTCGCCGGGTACGCCTTCGCGGATCCTGCCGCCACCGACCCACCTTGCTGGGCCGTCGGGAGCTGACCGCCAGCGCCCCGGACGGGCCTGCGCCGGCATCTTCGGAGGTAAATGCAGTCGGAAACAATGGGGCACGGGGGTCGGAAGGGGCTGGGCGGGCCGAGGGCCCTCCCGGAGCGAGGCCCAGGGCCTGGGGACCGTGGTCTCGGCCTGAGGGGCCGCCGGGACCGGCGGGGCGGGGGTGACGGGGCTGGGCGACGACTCGGCGCTGCACCTGTGGATTGGTGCCGGCCGGCCGGCGGGCGGGTGAGGGCTGCGTTTCGAAAGACGCGCTCCCGGAAACATCCTGGTCTCTGGGAAAATAACCGCTGACTCTGGTTCGTGACTTCACCACGGACAGGGGTGTGACCTTGGCCAGTCACCCAACCTCTCTGAACCGGACTGTAAAATGGGGATAACGATTTTGGTTCGTTGTGATTATGCGCAGGAGCCCTGGTAGTATAGTTTCCCAGCCCTGACTGAAAGGTAGGTGGTTCGAACCCACCACCAGCTGCTCCACGGGAGAAAGACGTGGCAGCGCGCTGCTATAAAGCTGACAGCCTCGGGAACCCTATGGAGCAGTTCTTCTCTGCCCTGTAAGGCGTGCATTGGAATCAACTGTATTGCAGGGAGTTGTGAATTATGTAATGCAAGCGGTGCTTACCTGTGATGTCGGCCCAGGTAAGCCTCATTCAGAGGGAGCTGCCCCTTCAGCGACTGGGTTGTCCAGTGTTGGGCATTCCTCACCGAACTGGCCTGCCACTGACTAGGCCGCGCAGCCTTCCTCGTGGGCGGAAGAGGACAACCCTGAGATGGCTTTTCCCTTAAAGTTTAATGAGAAACTTTCAGCGGTTCTCAACCTGTGGGTCCCGACCCTTTTGGGGGCGAGGGGCTCGAGAGACCCTTTCACAGGGGTCGCCTAAGACCATCGAAAAACACATTTCCGATGGTCTTAGGAACCAAGACACGGCTCCTCTCTCTGTCTCCAGGCGGGTCCGCCCACATGCAGACACGCCTTCATACGCCTACCCCTACCCGGCGTGGACTTACCTATGCTACATCATGCTCCAAGACAAAATTTCATTTATTTGTAATTCGAAATAAGTATTTCACAATATATAATTATGTTATTTTTGTGATGAATTAGTATGCTTTAATTATGTTCAATTTGTAACAATGAAAATACATCCTGCATATCAGATGTTTACATTACGACTCATAACAGTAGCAAAATTACAGTGATGAAGTAACAAGAAATAATTTTATGGTTGGGGGTCACCACAACATGCGGAACTGTATGAAAGGGTCGCAGCATTAGGGAAGGTTGAGAACCACTGCTTTAAACCCAGATATAAAGTTTATGGTAGATAATTTTCAAGATTATTTAAGATAAATTAGGAAACAGCTATCCAAGATTTCAGTTGATGAGCTGCCTTTTTTTTTTTTTAATCAGTGCAAAACCAGAACTGTTATGCTATCTGGAATGTATGGCTTTGGAGGGAAATGGTCCCCAAACATTTCTTTTTGTTGCAGGAATTGGGATTTGGCAGCAAACCCCTGAATAACCATATCATCTTTTGGAATTCGTAATCTGCAGTTGGAAGGGGACCCAGATTAGTTTTTATACTTGGAGGTGTCTTTCTGTTACATTTACTTTTGGACTCTATTTGCTTTTTTTTAAGTCTGCTTTGTCTAGCTATTACTAATGACAGTAACTATATAATGTACGAAGATTATTGAGTTATTATGCACTATCATCTTGGCCCAGTCAATGAAATCAATTCAGGTATGGGTGCTGGATGCTATCAAAATTCACTTTTGCATGCATAACACAGGGCCCAGGGTTCAGTTCTTGCTGTGCCACAGGCACTGTACTACTCCCTGTTAACGGGAATATCTCTTCACACGACCACTTTTTCAAGTAGGTACTGTTAATTGCTTCACTTTAAAATGGAGAAAATGTCAGGGTTTTATGGTTAATTTAAATAACTTTAAATAATTTCCTAACGGGTCATATTACTAAGTGCTCGTGAGTCTCACCTCTGGCTGGACATTAGAATGAATACACCCTCTCCCCCTTCCAAATACAGTCAAGTGGTTACATTTTATACACAATGATACTCTTAAGGAATGCCATGGGAGATGACTTTCAATTTTTATTAAAAGACTGCAAGACAATCTTTCCTATCAGACTCTTTAGTTTTTTCCTTTCAAGGTTTTTCTGTTTTGTTCTTAAGGCCCAATTTATGCCTTTGTCCTCCCCCTTCTATTTTACCTTAGGTACATGTACTTATCGATTCCCTTATTTCCTCCTGCATCTTAGCATTGAAGGGTGCTCATTCTTGTGTAAGCCAGCACATATGAAGATTTGGGAAGGGAGGGCTTGGGAACCCTTTTAAGAAATTCAATCAGAAAAATGGTTTAATCTCACCTGCAGGGAAATTAATTTGTGGTCTTAATTCTTAGGCTACCAAGGTTGTTCTGAGTCAGAACGGACTCTGGCTGTGGATTCAATGGGTTAGAGAAACTTTATCACAGGCTCTTCTGGAAGCTGAAGCACAAATTTGTCTACCATCAGATCTGCCTTTCCTGCAAAACTGTTCCTCTGAATCTGATTTGTAGTCATCCTGTTGCGCCTTAGTTTGTGTTTATGTATTTGTTTGTTTTTTTAAACAGCTTCAAGATATAATTTGAATTCCATTAAGTTCACTTGTTTAGGGTTTATAATTTAGTGGTTTTAGGTATATATACAGAGTTGTGCAAACTATAGGCATAATCTAATGTAAAACACTTTCATCATCCCAGAAGGAAACTTTTTACTCGTCTTCAACCCCTTAGACAGTCTGCCCTGGACAGCCATCAATCTAGTTTCTGTAGCCTTTCTAATAAGGCTATAACCAAAAAACCAAACTCAACCCACTGCTATCAAGTTGATAATTGAGTTATAGTGATTCTGTGTAGGATTTCTAAGGCTATAAGTCTTTACCGGAGCAGGCAGCCTCATCTGTCACCTGGGGAGCTGGTGTATTTGAACTGCTGACCTTGTTGTTAGCAGTCTAAAGCTTAACCAATAGTACCACCAGGGCCCCTAGATGAGGATATAAATTTGCTTATTATGAACATTCATGAGAACATATAGTCTGGTCTTCAGTGGCTGGTTTCTTCCAGTTAGCATAATGAAAAGGTTGATTTATATTGTAGGTTTTGGTACTTTTTCTTTTCTTTTTTTAAATCTAAAACTATTGATCACAGTTCACCAGTATTTACAATAAAGTAAACAATATACAATTGGGTTAGCATTTTGAGACTACAAAGTTGTTTTTCCTGGCTTTAGCTGAGCTAGAGTCACCCTGATACTGAGAAGGTTGGACCTCCCTGTGAAGACTACGTTGGGAGTAAAACAAACCATGCAGGTCAGGAGTCGAGATGACAAGTTTGTTCACCCATTTATGCAGCAGGTCTTAAGCGGCAGCATCACTAACCAGCTTAATAGGTTTTCACCAACAAGGTCTTAAGACATTCTGTGAAGCACCTTTACGTAACACAGATTTTAGCTTTCTGTAAGACAATGGTTGTCTAAAAGGAATACCGCCTAAGAACCTTTAAGACATACCAATATTAGTCTTGCCTTTATTTGGGTGGGGACGTTTTGAGTAGTGTCCGGAGTTTTTGTGCACTCAGGGGACTTTGAAAATAAAGTTTCATTTATATGATCCTATAGGTGTGGATTTTTAAAAGTTGTTTAATTACTGGATCATTTATTTGATTTAAAAGCTCCCCCCTCCCCCATTTTACTTGATGTGATCTACTTGAGTTTCTCAGAAGGATAGCATCTATCCCTGTAACAACACGGAAATACCCATGGTTGTTAAATGCCATTTTTGTTTAGAACAGTTTTTGGTGAATGTAAAACAAAATAAAATGTACGTACATATTTATGCATACACACACACACAAAGATCCAAGCATCCAGAATGGTCCTTAGGCGTACATTATGGGTTAAACAATTTCTGATTCAGTAATAACTAAGTAGAACTTCCAATATTTAGAAAAGCTATTTTGTAATGCAGAATAAATAATATACCAAGGTATTAAATGTTCTTTTCTGATAAATGAAGCAACTACCGAAAACTTTATTTGTTCAAAGTAACCAGTGCTATTTATACAACAAAAAATAACCCCAACAACTCCCCTAGTACTACTATAAAACAAACATCAAACTTGATTTCCATTAGAATGCAGTTATTCTTCTCACTAATAATTCAAAACAAACAAAAAATCCCAAGACCCAGAAGCAATGCAAACAGTTATTGAGCTTCATCTTCTGGACAAGAATGCAAAGTTAGTCTCTCTTCATAAAACGCAATGACAATTTGAGGGCACTACATGCTTGACTCTTTTGCCAGCACCAAGTCTGCCTCATCTCAATCTTTCCATTTCATGAGAAACATGAAATGTTTCTGTGACACCAAGTATTCATTCAGGATCAAGACCTCTGGCAAAGCCCCTTGGTTTGTCAGCAGCATCTCTTTGCTTTGATTTGCTGTCGTCGTCGGATTCACTGTTAGATAAAGACTTTCTTTTTGTACCATCTGTTTCTTCACCAGCTTTTTGAGAGTTGAGAATTGCTTCAATTAATTCCGGACTATCTAAATTTTCTTTAGGTTCCCATGTATTATCAGCATCTGTATAAATCCTTTCCATTTTAGGAAATATTCCACCTTTCTATCCACAACACGTTGGTCCAGTACTTTTTCTACCACAAATTCTTCAGGTTCAGCCTCTTCAACTTTTTTACTCTTTCCATTCTATTTTTTCTCCATTTTTTGCAGTGTAGTTCTATTGGAGACCATTTTTTATTGCAGACCTGAAGAGCTATTACACGGGCCTCCACTTGCCCCTCCACGCCTTTCTGCCAGATCCCGACTAGGTCCAGCGAGCAAGGGCGGGATCCACGAGTCGGGGTGGGGCCCCTGGAGTACATGTGGCATCTGGAGCACAGCCAACTCCAGCCAGGAGAGCAAGAGACAGCAAGAAAGCCACAGCCTCCTAGCTGCTCCTGGTCCCGGGTCCGCAGCGCCTCAGCCCCGTGTGCCTGGGTGGGGGGGTGGGGTGGGGTGAGCTACTTTTTCTTCTGAGATGCGTTTGGTAGACTTGAACCGCCAACCTTTCAGTTAGCTATGCAGACCTGGATTCAAATCCTGATTTAACCACCTTACAAACGGAACAAATTACCTAAAATAAATTGGTAATAGTAAATTCATTTTTATTGTTAAATAAGATTCCTCCCAACAACATGATAAATAGTAATAATATTCCATTGTATGAATAGACCACACTTAGTAGAGTCAGTGATAAAAGAGAAAGCCCCCTTGAAAGAAGGGTTGACACAGTGGCTCTAAACAGTGGTTCAAACATAACGATTTGAGGATGGCAAAGCACCTGGCAGTGTTTCATTCTGTTATACATAGGGTCGCTGTGAGTCGCCAACAACTCAACAGCATCTAACAAGAACATAACCTAGTAGGAAACTTAAAGATTTTAAATTGTAGTCTTTATGGTTTACAGAGCTAGTTTTAAGTGAAGCCTGGTCTTTAGTCCAGGACTTCTGATAATTGTTCAGTATTCCCTTTCTCCTCCCCCCACCTCTTTACCCTTTCCCACCACACACACACACACACACACAATCTCTGATACTAAAAGCTTGTACAATTGTCAGGTGCTGTTGAGTTGTTCCAACTCACAGGGATACTGTGTACCAAAAAAGAAAGTACTGCCCAATCTTCAAGCAGTCGCTCCTGTTTTTGAATCCATTATTATTTTTTTGAATCCATTATTTAAACGATATTGTCAATCTCTCTCATTGAGTGTCCTAATTCAAAAACATCAGTTCTTTGATCTTCTTTATTTTTATTATCCAGCTTTCACATGCCTATTGGGTGATTGAAAGTGCTATGGCTTGGGTCAGGTACACCTTAGTGCTCAAAGTGACATCTGTGCTTTTTCATACTTAAAAAAGGTCTTGTGCTGCAAGTTTGCCCAATACTTCTTTTTTGTTCTTGATAACTACTTTATGGATGTTGACTATAGTTTCCCAACAAACATGTTATAATAGTGTATTTATTTATATGTGTATTTTTACTGAGCCAGGAGATTAGAAAATTTAGAAAGGCAATAATGTTGGGAAATTTTCACACTATATAAAGGTTTCAGAGTTTAAATATGTTAGTCAGAAACCTTTAGTAATGTATGCTTATAATCTTGGTAGTCGATTCTGAAAGATTACAGCCATTGAAACCCCTACTGAACACAGTTTTACGCTGAAACAAGGGGATCTCCAAACATAGAAATCAGATAGGTGGCAAATGGCTTTTCAGAACTGTTCGGTATGTAAGGCATAGATGATTTTTGCATTTCCAGCCACTGCCTAGGCATGCAGACTAGGACTGCCCCTTAGGGTTTTCAGAAACTTTCAGAAACGGGGGACCAGACCTGTCAGGTGCTCCTAGATGATGGCTTAAACCACCAGCTTTTCAGCTGAGATTTGCTTAATTGTGTGTACCAACGAGAAACTCCTCAAGGCTCAAATGTAATTGATGCACATTCTGTTTCAGCCCTGGCAGATTCATTTTGTGCCCTATAAACTGATAAATTTAAAGAAAGGAACACTGTTAGCCTCTTGTGGTCCTAATTGGTTAAGGTGTTGAGATAGGAGACAGATCATAATTTCAAGATGTTTTATGGTTTGAGTTTTTGACAATAAATTTAAAAGGCTAAGGAAGTCTTCTTAGGATGCCGAAAAGAATAAGCGATGAGCTGATAATACTATAATAATAATAACAGTAATGACAATGGCAATTTTACTATAAGTTTTACTGCTTGAGTGCTTTTACATTTATTATTTCACTTAATCTTAACTAAGATCTTTTAATGAAAAAAACACTTTTCATTAAAACCACAGCATTGTATTAAACCAGTGAACTTTTAAATGTATATAAATGGTATCTCAGGAAACACATTAGTGGTCTATGTTGTTGGGGACATATTCAAGGGGGCTTCAAAAAGTTTGTGGGAAAATGCCATTATCTTTTTGTTCTATTTTCTACTAGTTTAAACCCCCTTGTATGTATGAAAGGTATAAAATCACAAATAAGAATAACACTAACATTAAGTCAGAGTGGTAGGGACATGAATAACCTCTATGTTTTCTTTTGAGCATGTTTGTATTTGTAATGTTTCTTAATTAAAATATTCTTTTAAAGAATAATAGGTTATTATATTTGAGCCCTTACTATTTTTTCTGTACATTTTCTAAGGGTTTTTTAAAGTTTCACAAACTATCATGCTATATAGTTGTTCGTCTTTGATCAGGTTACTGATATATATCTTTCTTTTACAGATAATGGCATCAGCAGCTAAGGAATTTAAAATGGACAACTTTTCACCTAAAGCAGGCACTAGCAAATTGCAACAGACAGTACCAGCTGATGCATCTCCTGATTCCAAGTGCCCTATATGCTTGGATAGATTTGATAACGTGTCTTACTTAGATCGCTGCCTACATAAGTTCTGTTTTCGCTGTGTGCAGGAGTGGTCAAAGAACAAAGCTGAATGTCCACTGTGTAAACAGCCCTTTGATTCGATTTTCCATTCTGTGAGGGCAGAAGATGACTTCAAGGAGTATGTCCTAAGACCTTCATATAATTTTTCCACCCCTGATGTTCGACGATTCCGCTACCGGACAACTATGACAAGAGACCGAAATACTTCTGTCTATTCACCGACTAGTACTGTGAACAGAAGAACATCATCGCCACCAGATAGTGGTGTGCTATTTGAAGGATTGGGCATTTCAACAAGACCTAGAGACAGTGAAATTCCTCAACTTATGAGGCAGATTGCAATAAGGAGGCCAGCCACCACAGATGAAAGATCTTTACGTAAAATTCAAGAGCAGGATATTATTAACTTTAGAAGGACTCTGTATCGTGCTGGTGCTCGTGTTAGAAATATTGAAGATGGTGGCCGCTACAGGGACATTTCAGCTGAATTCTTCCGCAGAAATCCAGCTTGCCTTCACAGATTAGTCCCCTGGTTAAAGCGTGAACTTACCGTTCTTTTTGGAGCTCATGGATCTTTAGTGAATATTGTCCAGCACATCATCATGAGTAATGTTACTCGCTATGACTTGGAAAGTCAGGCCTTTGTGTCTGATTTAAGACCATTTTTACTTAACCGGACTGAGCATTTTATACACGAATTCATCAGCTTTGCTAGATCTCCATTTAACATGGCAGCCTTTGACCAGCATGCTAATTATGATTGCCCTGCGCCTTCCTATGAAGAAGGCAGCCATTCCGATTCTTCAGTCATAACAATATCTCCAGATGAGACTGAGACCCACGAGTTGGACATTAATGTAGCCACTGTTAGTCAAGCACCATGGGATGATGAAACTCCAGGGCCATCATATTCCAGCTCAGAACAGGTACATGCCTCCATGTCTTCCCTTTTAAATACATCTGATAGTTCTGATGACGAACTTGTAACAAGAGGAACCCCACCTCAGATACAAGGAGCACAAACCAATGAGGACCTAAATAATGACAGTGATTCTTCTTCAGACAATTGCGTCATTGTTGGGTTTGTTAAACCCCTAGCTGAGAGGACCCCAGAACTTGTTGAACTATCATCTGACTCTGAGGAGTTAGGCTCTTATGAGAAAATAGAGACAGTCAAGACACAAGAGCCAGAGCACTCGTACAGTTCTGGTGATAGTGATATTAGTAGATGTTCATCCCCACGCTCTGTCCTGGGGAAGGATGAGCACACAAATAAGGGTCTTTGTGATTCTGATGCGAAGATCCAGTCACAGAAGGAAGAGAAACGATCCACATCATCATCTCCTAGAGACCTGACCTCATCTATGAGAGGAGACAGAGCATGCTCCCCGCACAACCACAGACACAGAAGAAGGGGGAGATCAAGAAGTTCTGATTCATGTTCTCAGAGAAGTGGGCATGATCAGAAGAATCGTAGAAAGCATCATGGTAAGAAAAGAATGAGAAGCAAACAGTCCAGAAGCAGAGAGAGTAGCAGACCAAGAGGCAGAAGGGACAAAAAGAGATCAGGAACCAGAGATCGCAGTTGGTCGAGAAGGAGCCAAACCTTGTCTGTAAGTAGTGAAAGCACAAGTAGATCAAGGTCTCGTAGCAGTGATCATAGTAAAAGAAGATCACGAAGCAGAAATAGAGATCGTTATTATTTAAGAAATAATTATGGAAGATATAAGTGGGAATACACCTACTACAGTAGAAATAAAGAAAGAGATGGTTATGAATCATCTTATAGAAGAAGGACTCTGTCCAGGGCTCGTTATTCAAGACAATCTTCAAGTCCAGAATTCAGAGTTCAGTCCTTTTCTGAAAGGACAAATGGTAGGAAAAAAAATCACAGTGAAAGGAAGTTTTACTACTACGAAAGGCACAGGTCAAGGAGCCTCTCTAGTACTAGATCAAGGACTGCATCCACAGGTCCTGATCGGGGGAGAAGTGAAAAGCCTGGAGGGAAACGAAAATATAAGACACGCCATTTGGAGGGTTCTAATGAAGTGGCTCAGCCGTCGCGTGAATTTGCTTCTAAAGTAAAGGATGGTCCTTGCCCCAAATCTTCAAAATTGGATGGAAACTACAAAAATGAGAGTGACAGCTTTTCTGACAGCCGATCATCAGACAGAGAAACAAAGCACAAGAGGAGAAAAAGGAGGGCCCGAAGTCTAAGTGTAGAGATAGTGTATGAAGGGAAACCTACTGATACAAACAGACATCATAAAAAGAAAAAGAAGAAACACAAGAAGAAGCATCGAAAACACCATGGAGAGAATGCTTCCCGTTCCCCAGTTGTAATTACCATCGACAGTGATAGTGATAAGGATTCTGAAGTAAAGGAAGATCCAGACTATGACAATAGTGGTCCTCAGGACTCCGTACACAGTGAGCTTTTGACTCCCTCCTTGGACCCATTTGAAAATAAAGATGTAGTTACCGTAGAAGACGAATTTGGTACCTTGGATAAGGATTGTGATATTATCACTAACAACTTGGACAATGCCAACAAAACTGTAAATAATACACTACAAGTATCTTCCACTGAACAAACTCTTGATGTGAGAGAAGAGAGCACTTTTGCCTCTGTCTTGGAGAACCAGCGCAGTAACCTGTCTGTTCCAACTGAACCCTCCAGGCAACTGCCCTCTTCGCGGACATCATTAATGTCAGTGTCTCTCGGTCGAGAACATGCTATGTCTTAAAATTGCCAAAGCAGCTCATTGAGAATCTTGATGGTATCAAACGAAGGAAAGACAAGGAACAGGGTCATCTACTGCAGTCTATTGACTCTTGATGAAAACTACTTTCTCCTTAAAATATTGTGTGTGCGGGGGGATTGTTTGTTTTGTTTTGTTTTTTGTTAAGAGTTTGTAAGAAAGCATCTTATTGTTTGAAAGATCTGTAAGTCCACTCAGAGATAAGCACTTTTAAGTGAAGAAAATGATATTGCTAGCCATTTATTTAAAACTTGGACTCCTTTTTAAATAAAAAATGTAAATTTTAGAAGTTATTTCATAAAGCCATATGGTATTGACATATTTTTCAAGTAGTCGAGTATTTTTGAATTTTCTTTTTTTCCTGAGAGTTAATCTGGAAATGTGTTATAAGCTTGGGGACTCCCTTTGGACAGTCTTTATTTTTCTTCTTAAAACTTTGTATGAATCCCAAACCATTTCTTCTGGTTAAATTGAGGCATTTTAATCTTGCACATTTTTTTGTGGCATCTACCAAAAGAAAAAAGGAAACATTTCATTTATATACTTGCTTATCTGGACTGCCAGTAAAACAAATGTGTACTCATTTCAAGAAAGAAATAAAAACAGCAACATTTTAAAACAAGAACCCAAAATCTTTCAATGTAGTTTTTAATTTGTAATCAGCTACATTTAGTGAAGTTAAAACCTTGAAAATAGCAAATTCTATAGTTGTGTCATAAATACTGAATTTAAGGTGATCTGAATTTTGTGTTTTAGTTCTTCAGTCTGCTTAGCAAGAATATCTTATTTGCTTTTTAGCAAAATGCAGGTTAGGCGAACTAGTGACATACCAAAAAAACTTGTTATACTTCTTTTTAGGCGAACTAGTGACATACCAAAAAAACTTGTTATACTTCTTTTACATCAGTAGTTCTGTTACGTAAAGTGGGCTGTGTTCATGTTTTACCTTACCTTGGAGATGATAAAATTGTGTTACGTCAACCCTGATATAACATCACCAGTGAACAGGCAAGCTTGAATGAAATCTAAATTTAATTTGATGTACCTACTACCATTATCTATGTGGTATTCAAATATTGGAATAGCCTATTGGGCAGGTTCTATACTACATTTTCAAGAATTAAAAGGACAAAGTAGCTATGGTCCCTGCCCTCATGGAGTTTACAGATGTTGAGTAAAACATAACTCCTGTATCTGGGGAGAAAGGATATGAAGCCAACTCTGGCTCAGTCTCCAGTTAAAGTGATGGTTGAACTTGGAATCAAGTTAAGTAGACCATTTGAGACCTGTGGAATACAGGGAATTGCCCACCAGCATTTTCACTGCCATTGAGTATTCCAACTCATAAGGATCCTACAAGACAGGGTAGAACTGCCCCAGTGGCTTTCCACAGGAGTAGAAAGCCTCATCTTTCACCCATGGAATGACAGGTGGTTTTGAGCTGCTGGCTTGGCGTTTAGCCCAATCTCTAACCACTATGTCACCAGGGCTCCTAGCAGGGACCTATAATTGTGAATGTGAAGAAGCTTCACCCTACCAATCCTGTCACCAGAGTTCTCGTAGGCCATGTGCCCTTACACAATTCTATAAAAATTCATACTACCTCAAAACATTTCTCCCCTTGGTTTCCAATACTTCCATTACTGAAGAATAATGGTATCAACCAAAAATTTCAGAAAGTCTAGACATCAAAGTGCTATTTCTAGAAGTAGAGCTGCTGCCTAGAGGAGAGGATGTGCAAAGACCCAAAGGAAAGCAGAGTTAGCCAAAGGACAAGGAGTGTGCCACCAACTGGTAAACCCTGGTTAGTGTTTGCACATACCTTGGGGAAATAGGAAATGTAGCCAAGATTTTAGTAAACTCAGATGCTGAGCTATTGTAGGAGGAGCAATTGATTAAGGAATACACTTATCAAGTGTAAATACTATGTATTTATAATTTTTTTAATATTGAAACTTGAGACTGCCATCTCATTCCACGACCAGGTTTTAACATGTAAGTGTGTAAGTGTTCAAACCAAAAATGTCCATGCCTTGTTTCTCTTCCCCTTCAGTCCCTTCATTCTGTCATCAGATCCTGGCCATTCACTGTTTTTAAATCTTTTCACTGTGTCTGCTGTAACCCTGGCTAGACTGGCAACATCCATTGCTTTACACCTGGCCCTTTCTCCTATTTAGAGGAAATCAGAAGAAATTTTAAAAGAACAATTGGGAAATATGATAACCTTTCATTTTCTGACTTTACATATGTAAGTACCTTCCCAATCTTTTTATATTATTTTTTAATCATTTTATTGGGGGCTTGTACAGCTCATCACAATCCATACATCCATCCATTGTGAAAAGCACATTTGTACATTTGTTGTCATCATTCACAAAACATTTGCTTTCTCCTTGAGCCTTTGGTATCAGTTCCTCATTTTTCCCCCTCATGAACCTTTGATAATTTATAAATTATTTTGTCATGTCTCACACTCTGTTGACCATCCCCCACAGAGGGGGTAGATCCTTGTAGTTGGTTTCCCCTTTCTCCCCAATCTTAAACACGTACACAATCCAGCAACTTGATGGGGTCTGTAAATCACCAAGTCCAGCGCTCACCATCTCTAGCCATGCTACAGGGGAGCTACTTCCTCCTACAGAACCATCAACAGAACGTTTCCTGGGAACTGAAGTCCACCTGGCTAAACAAGGTTTTTGTGTGCCTGTTCCGTTATTTCCCCTTTTGTTGCTGAGTAAAATGGGGTTCAGCGCTCTCAGCACAATTTGAATTGCTTATTAAATATCCCTCACCAGTCTGGTAGTTGCGTCACACCTCTGGGCCAGTCAGTACTCTGAAACATCCCCATTCGCTATTCCCTTACACATAGGAAGTGTTTTAAAACACTCATTGGCCGAATAAGTACTAAGGATTTAAGAGATTGACCAAACCTTGCTTTTTGTTTTCAGGTAGCGCCACTATAATTTTTTTTTAACAAATTCTTTTCATTTGAATTCAATGCCATTAAGATGTTCTATTTTACTTCAATTTTCAGGTTTTTGAGCCTTAAGACACGTGGAAAGGAAATGCAGCCATGCTCATTAAGGCTCAGTGAAATCTTAAGATTTTTCCTTCCTAGGAGTAGAGGAACCCAGGGGCCATGGTGGGTTATATGCTGGGCTGTTAGTCACAAGGTTAGTAGTGCAAACCTACCTGCCACTCTGGAGAAAGATGAGGCTCTCTGTTCCCGTAGATTGACAGCCTGTGGGAAACAAGGGTTTCTCCCAAGTTGTCTCCCCCAAATATATGCCAAACTTAGCTGCTTGCGAATGACTATGGACTTGGAGGCCAACAGAAGTAGATCAGGGGTTATTCTCCCTCAGCTATCAGCCATCTAGACCAAGCAGACACCACTGTTTATCCCACAACAAATAAGGCCCACTCGCTTCTGATAGGATAGTAGTTGTCTGTTTCCTTGTAGGAGATGCCAGAGAGGTCAAACCTGCCCTGGGATGACCAAGGTTAGGCTGCCATCATGAATCCAGGGCCCGCCCATCTCGTCACGTGTATACCCCTAGACCTTCCCATTCCTATGGGCACACCCCTAGCTCATCCCCTTCCTGTCACGCTTATGCCTATCATAGGTCCCCTGCCTACAATGTGTATGCCTATTGTACTGCCCCTTCCTGTGACGTGTGGTTACCTGTAATGATGCCCCTGAAGGAGATATAACCCTTGGTTAGCAAAGTCACAGCCGGGCTTCCCCCACGAGGACCACCAAGCGGGGCTGAGGTGAGCATGCTACCATGAATTGTGTCTGACTCCATTAATTCAGTCTCTCCTCTGTATCTCATGCTCTCTTTGACTTTACTGTAATCTTTACTTCTTATCGCTGTACAGTTGCACCTACCGGACCTGTGTTGATTTGTTGGGAACCCTCCTCTCCCCACAACAGCCTAGCTTCACTATGAGTTTAAATGGAAAGAGTGCATATAATGGTGCGGAGCCCTGATGGAGTAGTAGTTGATAGCTAACCACTTTCAGTTGGTGGTTCAAACCCACCAGGTGCTCTGCAGGAATAATGTAAGATGATTATCAGCGAACCTTAACGGTTAACTGCAAGATCAGCAGAATAGAACTGTCCCTGTGGGTTTCCAGGACAAAGTCTTTATGGAAGTAGAATGCCTCATATTTCTCCTATGGAGCAGCTGTGGTTTCCAACTGTTGACTTTTGGGTAAGTAACCCACGATGCCACCAGGTTTTCCTCTTGTAAAGATGACAACTCTGAGCTGGTCACTGAGTTGGAGTCAAAGGCAATGGGGTACAGTGTATGCGCCACTTAACATCTGTTCAGGCAATGTCCAATCATACATTATCTCTGATCTTAAAACCAAAAATCTGATTGCCACTGTTGATTCTGACTCAGTGACCCTATAGGACAGAGTAGAACTGCCCCTGTGAGTTTCTGAGGCTGTAAATCTTTAGGGAATCAGGACGCCTCATCTTTCTCCCTCCGAGGCTGGTGAATTTGAACTGCCCATGTTAGACTTAGCAGTCCACTCATAACACACTACACCTTCAGTGTTCCCTATAAAGTTGTACAAATACAATTCCTAAGTTGGAATACAAAATGTTAAACATTTGCTCTTTGAAAAACTATTAAAAATATAAATCATAGACCTAGACAAGGAGGCTTCAAAAAATTTGTGGAAGACAAAAGATAATGGTATTTTTCCATGAATGTTTTGAACTCCTCCTAGAATACAGAAAATCCCAATTGGGGAAGTGTACATGTGGGAAGTACTAACTTCCTGATCCCTTAACTGCTTGGCTGTGGGTGGACAGGGCACAGGATCCTGACACCCATCCACAGCGTACCACTACACTCACCTCAGACAGGTACCTTGGGCATTCAGTGCATGCGAGGCCACAGCTTTCATCATAGTGGCCTCTGTAGGTGGAGGGCCAAGGAGGAAGAGTGGTAAGGCTGGAAGAGTTTAAAGCTCACAGTGCATGGCAGGAAAAGAGCTGGTTGCAGCTCAGGAGGGCCAACCGGGCCTTACGATCTGGGAGCAGCCACACAGGAGTGGCCGCAGAGCCCAAGTTCTGACAGTCCTGCAGTGCCTCTCCTGCATCTCACACACAAGGCCAGTTCACATGACCTGTTTCACGTCAACTAGTCAAATTCCACCTCACTAAAGCACAGCACCTAGTACTAGGAGCCCTGTGGCATAGTGGTTATGCAATAGGCTGCTAACCATAGGTCAATAGTTTGAAACCACCAGCCAGTTTCATGAGAGAAAGATGGGCCTTTCTACTCCCATACAGAATGATTGTTTCGGA